GGCGGGCGGGTGGACAGGCAGGCAGGCGCGTGCAACAGATTCGTCCCGACGAATGCGCTCGTTGTGCGCGTACTCTTTAACAGTACACGTTACTGTACCGTGACCCACCGTTTTCCATCTGACGTCGCGCCGCGCGCGCTACGACTCTCCAGGGGGACTCACCGGCGACTCTTCCTCTCTGTGCGAGCGCTTCTTCCCGAGAACTTCCGACGGACTGCCGGCGTGCAAACTTTCGACGAGCGCGCCTCGAGCCGCGGTGACAGTCTAGATTAGCTCGCTGATGCGCGAACGGCACCGCGGAGGCCCGACGTCGGAATTTCATTCGTCACCTCTGCGCCTTGCACTTGGAAAAGTCGCACGGGGTATCCCGGCTTGCCCGCCAGCGCCCGCGAACCCTCGGGGCAATCTGGAGCGCATTCGTTCTCGACGCTGAAACGTCGAGACGCGAATGCCTCCTCGGCCATGAGCGATGGCAGCATGAAGGATGATCGCACAGGACGTCCTCCTCACGACCGCGGAGACTTATCGGGCAGTTCATCGTCGTCTAGTCGCGTATCTTTTGAAAAAGACGAATCGCTTCGGTCACATCTCGCAATTAATTATCTCCACGCCTACCGATGAGACACTAATGCTGTGTTATCGGTTTTAATCGGGACCTAAAATAGATGTAACAGATGAAACTGAAGAAATAAGGGAATATTGTTCGGCAATATGAGCACAAGTTGATTTTTGTATTCTCCTGGAGAAAGTAACATCTCATACCTCAATGTCTTCGATTCTTATCATATTTTGCATTCTCTCTGTTCCTCTCTCTCTTTCGCTGTTATTCTTGTATTTCGCAAAGCCTATTTTCGTACTTCTTTCACATGTTGGCACTCAGAGCGCTAATCGACGTCGGCGGGAGCGGAGGCGAACTGCACGACGTCGACGTCGAGTGTCGATGGCGGAGATCGTATCGTGGGACGCATGAAACGCGAAAGGCACCCGCTACTGAATAGCGGGATCAAACAGCCGGCGCTTCACTCTCTCATAAAGGCGGGATTGAAGCCAATACAAGAAGCAACGTTTATCTCTCATTTCTCGAATTTCTCATTAACGTACTCGCTGGCGCTTTGCGCGCAGATAGAACGGTTAAATGGACAATGGAGCTGCTAATACCATAATGGAACGCGACAGTTTCCGCCGTTTATGCGTTCACAACGTTAATCCCCTCCCATTGTCTCGCTCAAAGGCGAGGATTCGGCAAAGTGCACGGATTAATCTAGCGTATTATGCAAAATATTTGGGGGGCATACCTATGCTTTGCATCGAGTATCCATCTTCTGGAAATATTGGCCCTCTGAAAAAATAACGGAAGATATCAACATTTCGGTGATCCGCATTTAGAATATTTATAAAACGCGACGATATCACGCGAAAAAGAAAGGCAAGGCGCAACAAGATACAAGCCCGGACATAATATTGGGCATTCTTGTTTTGATCTTAAAATATAAATATTCAAACTTTTAACACAAAATATATGTACAAATATTGAGTATATACATACATTCTATGTTGAAAGTTTAAATGTTCGTATTTAAATATCAAAATAATAACAATGTGTGTGTGTGTGTGTGTGTGTGTGTGTATCCAGCATTAGGTAAATGTTCGGACACTTTAACCTTAAAGAATATAATAACGCGAAACAACAATATATATATCTAATGGAAATTTTCCACGAGGCGTGTGTCACATGCCAGAAAATAAAATTACACCACACCCACACGCTTTGTCGCTCAAGATGCTTTCCCACTTTCTCACGACGCTCATTTATTTCTCACGAATTATTTTCGGATACGCGCGGCTAGAAGTCGCGATTATCTTGGGCAAGGTCGCGTGCTCGTTCCCGCGCTCGGTTACTAATTAAAGATAACGAAGAGAGACACGAAATCGTGCGCTGCGAAGATTTGCAGGGGCAGGAATGTCGAACGTGAAAGAAAACGGTGACTAGGAAGGAAGAGCGGCCCATTTGCGGCGCACAATTAAGCGACTACGTTGTTCATCGCGGGCGGCGCGCATCGCCCGTTAACTGTATAATTAGCCAATTGCTAATTGCCCGGGTTCACATGGGCGCCGAGCCGGTTTGCCCGGCCCGTGGCGTATTAATCACTCATATAAGCTTCCTCTCGCCGCGGATCGAATCGGGTCAATGCGATGTGTCGGTGCGGCAGAAACGCGAAAAGGCGCACTCCGGCCGGAGATGCAATCGTGGGAGAAGCTGCAGAAGTCGATCGTGCCGGCGTAAGTAGTCCGGCCTAACTTCAATTTCGGACTTGAAAATCATTTTATCGATTAATTTTTATCATTTCCTTAGAATGCCAATCGTCACACTGAATCAAGAGTACTTCCATTTCGGACTTTTTGTGTTGAAAACTGTTTTATCAATTAATTTTATTTTTTTTAATGCTAATCATCACACTGAATTAAGAATAATTATTACTTCTCTATTTCTCCCAGTATTCTGACTTTAAAGATATTTTATTGGAATAAATTGTATAATACTTTATTGTAAAGGTGAATTTAATAGGATAATTTTTTATTATTTATCACTTTGAAAAAATCACGTCTGTGTACTTTAAAATAGTTGCAATCTTATGACAATGATTTTAGTATACTACATATTTTTTTGTAATCAATTCATTTTGCTGTAACATAAGCATGGTTGTGTAATATTGAAAAAGCTTTTATTTGGTCAAATAAAAACGTCATAGCTGTTATATATTATTAATAATTTAAATAGCGAGATTTTACAAAATACTTTTACAGAAAATACTAAATAATACTAATACTAATTATACAACGTTATGGACCAAATGGAATTATTCCAATTGTATTGAACTTGACACGTTGCTGAAATCTTAACAGTTACTTAACTGATACTGGACAGATATCAGTTCTGTTGTGTTTCTGTTTCTTATCGTTGAGCATGTGTTATAAAATACTCAAAGACCCGACGGCTTAGTTAGATCAAAACTTCATTCATGGGGGGACAAAGTGCTCCCGAGAAATCGCAATCAAAGCCTACAGTCGCGCCGAAAGAATCCATGAACCAGAAACCCCATTCACACTGTGGCACTACGTTTCTCCCTGCGTTTCTTCTCTCACGATGTACCGGAATATAATGACATTCGCAGAACGAACATTTCGATGAGGGAAACAGACCACAAGTCGCGCCCGAGTCGACTCACCGTCATTTAAACACTGTCCACCGAAGGCGATGTAAAAACAGAAAAAACGTCAGCCCAATTGGAATATAACCAAACTCGCGCGCTCTCTTACGATTTAGATGTTTACAGTATTTGTCATGCGTGAAATTTACAGTGTTTATCAGACCAGATACTCGTGATATCTATCAGGACGTGGTTCGTAACGCCGAACTATCGAAAGATAAACAGGATTCTGAAATAAAAAAAAAAGGTTAGAAGAATTTTTGGGTTGCGGGGCACGTAACAGCTCACTCGCGTGGATACCACGGAACGAACGGAACGTCGCGATCGGCGACTCAACGCCACCGACGACGGCGATAATACCGGGACTTCTCGGTTGCCCGCCGTGCCGGGCGTGTACCGACGTTCCGTGGGTTGCACATACACGACCGTGCGTACGCATCGTGCGAATTAAATACACACCTAAGACTGCCCAAAGTTCGCCGCGAGATACGGACGTACGGAAGCGTGCACGCACTCACCTCTAACCGCGTGAACAGCTAGCTTCCGCGTAGGGGCGGACGGACGCGAGACACGCACCGCGTCGCACATGCGAAAATTCATGGAAAACTGTACGCGGCTCGTCGTCGGACACGAACACCACTCGTCAAGAAACGTCACACTCACTTGAGTCGAACGGCCATTTTGCTACGCACGGCCCGTGTGAAGAGAACACCTTGATTCGCGCACGATAACTGAGGTCTGAAGTTGCATTCCCGGTGCGGGCTACGTTCCGACGTTCACTGCCGGTATTGAGAGTCTATAGTTCGTGTCACGTATTCTGTAGGTTTATCACTAGAAGTGAATGTCGGGATACACAGCAACGGTTTATACCCTGATAACTATGGCGCCACCAATCACCTCGAGCCTCGGGAGGTGCGGAATTTCCAGAATTCCCCAACGAACGACTAATCAAAAACTTTCCGTTGAATTGATCTCCTAGGCTGCGTTCAGATTCCCTACTCGGGTGCACTCTAAAGGTCTGTTTATGATGGCTGTAATCTGTTAACTTATGCCGGAACCGTAAAAAATTGACCAATCACAGTCGATTATTTTTGAAAATAATTGATTGGTCAACTTGCCTGCGGCTTATGATTAATGTCTTATTGTAGAAGGCTCATAAGAAATTGATCAATCACAATCGATTATTCTTCTCATATTCGACTATTAGCATGTTCAACTGGCTCTGGGTTAACCCACTCTGGGTTATTCAGCCTACGTTTATTGGTCGAACAAGTACTTATAAGCTTTATGATTGGCTAGTAGAACTTATGACGTCAATAATCGCTCTCGGAGCGATTAACCCAGGGCCAGTCGAACACGCTATATGATTGGTTAATTTCTTACTCTCATCTCTTATAACTCATACTTTTCTCCCATTAAAGTCGTTCTACATTAGTTGCAAGTCAATTGCAACTCTTGTTGTGACAGCCAATCAGAAGCGTCAATAGCACCAATAATGTTTCTGATTGGCTGTCGCAATAAGAATTGCGTTTACTTGCAATAGGCTTACAACTAATGTAGAACGACCTATAGGCTGTGTTCTTTTATTCGCGATAGATGCAGCCGATGTCATTCTATTCTTGTTTAACATTCGGTAAAATTGAAAGATAACATGACATCAGCTGTATCTGTTGCAAATAAAAAAACGCAGCCTTATAAATAGTCCTTCAGTCTGTTTATTTTTTAAGAACTTTTAAATTAAATAAGTTAGAATGAAAGAAAGTATATTTGTTTCATTCTAATTTATTGCATTAATATAGTAATGCTTTGAAAACGAACAAACCTAATAATAAACCCATAACGTGTTGCAATAGCCAATCAGTGATACAGCTTTATAATATTGACGTTTCTAATTGGTTGTTACAACTCCAGACTAAAAATACAAGTTTTGTAATAAGTGCTTCTAAAGATGTGTTTGCATGAAACGATTTTATAGAATGATCGTTTCAAAATAATTGTCTTGATACAGAATTGTATAGATTAATTAAGAAAATACAAATTCGTACATTAATCTTTTTATTTATTTCTACCCGTTAAATAAAGCGTAAATTGTGTGTGACCGAAAATAGAGATTTAAACTATATACTTTTTAGAACTTTCATAACAGGAAGGAATTTAATTTAACCTCAATGCAACTGGTTCGTGCTTGAGAATTTAATTGTAATTACATGTAATCTCCATATGGTGAATTTGCTCTCAATTGATCCTGTTGACAGTGCAAAGTGCTTTTGATCGTTGTAAGATATATTTCTGATTTCATTGCAAAAATCATGGCATTGCAATTACAAATCTTGTCGAACGTTTTGCAGGTAAACGTCGATGGAGATATTTATGTCAACACTTACTTAAGAACATAATCTATTTTGTTAGGTAGAAAAATTTCTCACAACTTCAGGATTATTCGTATTATTTCTTGTTTGCAATATGAATTTATCCCATGGCAAATATTTATTTATTATAAATTTATTTTTTAATACTATGTGTCACGTGCATTTGTGTATATTAATAAAAAAAAGAATATAAAAAAAATATATATATATATATGTATATATAAATAATACAATTTCTACCATTTAAATTTCTTTAAAAATAATGATATTTTCAGCGACTAAAAAATACAAAAACTGCAGCAACTGGCTATCTTTATGGTATTATGTACAATGATACACTTGTGGTGCTAACATTCAGCATAAATGATTGTGATAGTGAGGATAAGAATTTAATTGACTACATGGCTCTACAATTAAATTTACCTGCAGATATATATTGCTGTGGTATATTACAAATTGGTGAATGTGAAAATATAAATCCAGATGTGTTCAAAGTAATTATATAAATATGATAAAGTATAATTCAGTATTTTTGAGTTGTCATTCGCTTAGTTTATGCCATTGTTCTACAAAGAGTTATGATTAATTTTTATTGCTTTATTACTATAAAGGAATAAAATAATACACATATATTAGTAAATTAATATGTATATATATGTATTTGTTATATCTAGGATATTGACATCACTGATAATCCATTACTTTTAAAATATTCACATAGTACATTAAAAGTACAAGCATATTTTTATATGCATCAAAAATTAGAAGTTGCCAATGATTTCACTGTTATTAGCGAAGATGATCTTTCTCAACAATTTGTATATATTAGATTGCAAGCAACACTCCCATTAGTTACTCAAGATGGAAATATATTGGAAGTATTAGAGGAGTCACGAAAAAATGTGAGGTTTTTATTCAATTACTGCTTTTGTATACATTTTGGATATATTTTTATAATTATACATGCTGTAATAAATTATATCATTTTATATCGCTGCAGATTGCATCAGGAAAGATAGGGATACATTTCCCCACAAACAATGTATATCTTTTCAGAGCTGATAATGACTCAAAAGATACACTGATAAAAGATATTTTACCTGTATCCAAAGACTATGATAAATCTTTAAAAAAATCAAATCAGATAAATTATTATACAGGGGTTATGGTATGTTTTCAAATTGAATTCTCACATAGAGAGAAAGTAACTTTATAATTGTGGCTTTTATATATTCTTAATTTTCAGAATATTATATACGCACACATGTTATTGAAGATATCAGGTGAGAAGAATTCTGAAGAATCTGTCAAATATGCTCCAGTGTTGCAGCATATAAAAAGTGAGTTTATAAAATGACAAAATTTGTCAGAATATTGCTCCCATATCATGGATGTTTATATTAATATATAAATTTTTTTTATTTTTTAATTTATTAGTACTTTTGTTATAGAATCTTTTAACAGTCTGGAATGCAGTTTACATATTGATGCATTATCACTGGTAAATTTAAATATAAAATCTGCGGAACTACATGCAATTCTTGTAGAATCCATTTGCCGAAATATTAGATTAATTGAGATACAACAAGAAATACAATCCAAGGAAACAGAGCTATCTACAAAATTGCCTGAGATATTGCATTTTAAACCTCAAGGTTGTGGGCATTTATTTACAGTAGCATATCCTGGCAATTTTAGCAATGACAATACAAGTAAGAATCCTCATTCTCCTTCTATATATTATTTTATGCAGTTTTTATTTTTTATATTACAGGTTTCACATGTCATTTGTTGCATTGTACAATTATCAAACATTTGTGATCACAGTAATATATTTCATCTTTCTTTCTTTCTATTTACTTTTATATAGACCAGTCGTATAATTTCAGCGGAATATCGTAAGGCTTTACACAAGGCTTTAGCATTTGATTTAACTAGACCATATTTCCGACGTGGAAATGCTGTAAAATTGGACACACAAACAAATGAGATACTTATAAATCCTCATGAAGCCCTTTTACATAAAGGTACATATTTATACACCCAAATTTTCCATTATATCAAAAATACTATAAACTAAATATAAAATTATTATATTTTTCTTTACTTAGGTGTTACAGGAAAACTTAATGCCATATATGGTTTGTATTCATATCATCATTATATGCAAGATGACTTTGATGATAATGGATGGGGATGTGCCTACAGATCTCTTCAAACTATAATTTCATGGTACAGGTAATAAAATATCAAATGATACTTATCAAAATTACATCATCATTGACATGAACATACAACTATAATTTGCTCTGTTACAGATTACAGGGCTATACCGATATATCAATACCTACGCATCGCAAAATACAGCAATGTTTAGTTGACATAGGCGATAAACCATCTGCTTTTATTGGCAGCAAACAATGGATCGGTTCCACCGAAGTTAGTTTCGTGTTATCGACTCTCCTTAATATAGATGCAAAAATACTGCATGCAGCAGACGGAGAGGAGATGTCAGTCTTAATTCCACAATTAGCAAATCACTTTGATACTCAGGGTACACCTGTCATGATTGGTAAATTTTATATATCTCTTCTGTCATATTTTGAAAAGTGATTACGACTAAATATTTAACAGTGCAATACTTAATTTTGTTTTAACTCTTTTTTTTCTTTTTTTTTGTATCTTATAGGTGGTGGAGTATTAGCCCATACAATTTTAGGAGTCACTTTTGACGAGCATTCTGGAGAAGGAAAATTCTTAATTCTAGATCCACATTACACAGGTGCAGAAAATTTATCTACCATATTAAACAAAGGATGGTGCGGATGGAAAACAAAAGACTTCTGGAAAAAAGATGCATTTTATAATATGTGCCTTCCACAAAGACCTATAACCTTCTGATATTGAATATATTGAATTGTACATAAATTTTCTAAATTTAATGTGAAAATACACTATATGTGTTTATATATGTGCATGTACGTGCACACACACACACACAACACGTATGATAGTGTTCGCAGTCGAGTATTGCATCATATTACAGTAATATTTTTAAGAAATTATTTGTTTACCACATGTTATACAATAGAATAAAGATAATAAATATACATGTAATATTTTCTTGGCTAAGTGATATCTGCTGTAATAGTTTTTCCTTTAATGTTTGGAAAGAAATTTAGAAAAGAAGAGAATAAGCAATATGTTTAAACAATTAACCTAACTTATATCTTCTTGCTCTATTTAGATATCTCAGTGTAATATCATTAAATTAGTTACTTATTTTTTGGCATTCATTATTTTTTTCTATGTATCATATAGTTTTATTCATAAAGATATTCAATGAGAGAAACAAAAGTAAATATTTTACTTTATTTATTACATTGGAAGATATGTTTTCCTTAATAATTTCAATATATATTCAGAAGTATTAAATTACAAATAATATAAATTCTTTTATTTAGGACATACATTTATAACATTTGAACAAAAATACATTGCTACTCTGACAGCATATTCTGTAAGATTTAATTTCTTACAGAGCTTTGTAATAACTGTGCAAAGCGATTAGTAATAAAGTAAGAAACATCTATAAATCTATTGACGCAATTATTTATGCAGGTTTCTGTGCGAGCATCCAATTTGCTTCCTGGCTTCTCGACGCATTTCTCCCAACAAATGTCGTTAAATGCATGGATCTAAACAAATTTTGAGCATTTTTATATATTTTTATTTCATAAACAAAATGCTCAAGTTTTTTCTTATGTAAACCTTTTTTGACAGAAATGTGTGTAATATTATGTAAAATAATACTTTAGATAATTTGGAAACTTAATTCAGGTGCGGCTCAATTATCAAAGATAACAAAAATTCATCACGAACATATCAGTAAAAAGTATACCTGTGCGGTTGTCGCAACCTTTGCTTTTTCTATATCCAAAAGTTCACTTAATTGTGCATCGATCTGTGTATCAGAAGATATATCAGAGAAATCATTAAATGTGGTGTCGGACATTTTTCCCAAAGCTGCAGTAATCGAGCAATTTGAATAATTGTTAATGCAGAATGAACTCGTAGATCTCACACGTGGTAATCATGAACTATGACTAAGTTCGTCTTGTACGCTCTCGTGTCGAAAGCATCATTCTATCTTCCTTCGGCATGTAATGAACGATATAAGATTTGTTCGCGTCGCATGCCCCAAAGTGTTCCTACTCGCTTCAACGCACTCTGATTGGTCCACGTGTGACGTGACCAATCAGAGTGCGTTGGAGCGAGTAGGAACACGTTGGGGCATACAATGCGAACAAACCTATAAATAAAATGGCTTGGTTTACATCGTGCACTTAATACGCGTACTATATAGTAACTTTCTATTAAATAATCTTAATATTGACAATGCATATCAACAACGACGCATTCAATCGATACAATAAGTCTTCTTGATCTGTATTATACCAGCTTAATATACCGTTATTTATATACATTGTCGATATTAAGATTATCTAATAGAAAATTATTATTTAGTACGCGTATCAAGTGCACGATGTAAACCAAGCCAATAGCGAGCTCCCCGAACGCACCTTATATGTGGGAGGGAGATAGAATCACACTTAAGCCAGCTTAACACACGATGCTTGTTTTCGTGCTGGATTGCTTGCTGGATGGGAATACTCCATTCTGATTGGTCCGTCTTTAGAAATGCATCAATTCATCGTGTGCCACTGGCTTTACAGCGCGTAAGCACCCAAAGCGAACACAGCCCAAGTCATCGTATTTCGGATGTCGTGTGTAGTGTGAATCCTCCATCAAACTATTTGCATTTATTCTTAATTTTTCGGAAGCGTTATATATAGTTCCTTTGTGACCTTAACCAAATCAAACTTAACCTAACCTTCAGGTGGGAGAAGTAGATCTGTAAACTATGTTAGTTTTGTTTCTGATGGTGTTATGTGTTTTTCATTTCTTGATTTGTCATATATAAATTGCAGACACTGGCAGCCACATAAAAATAAATTGCAGAGTCCTGTGGATTTTATAGCACACAACGTGGTACTGAATAAAATCTGATAGTGGGTAAGCAGTGGACACTTGTACATCTTGTTATCGTCGGGAACTCTATAATCGAGCAAAGCAAAAGATCTCTTTTCTCAAGTTGAATATGTAGATGTAACATGATTGCGTTTATTGTATTTTCAAGTTAATTATGCTAATTATTATTCATATTAAATTTACGGGGAGGGGGGTGGGGAAGATCTTCAGTTTATTTGCTTGTATAATGGAAAAGAAAAATGTCTATACTTGTTTTTAACAACGATGGTTGCATTCAGCAGAAAAAAACAGCCTCATGAGTGAAAGTATTTAGCAGGATCTTCAGAATAGTAATTAAACACTAATCTAGTACTATCTTCTGCTGAATGCAATCAATACTTCATTTGGTATCTTTTCATAAGATGTCTCTTGTTTTATATAGCATGCTATATATGAACGATAATGTTACATGTAAGTTTATATATTTTATATACTACAGGATCACTTTTTAGCTCTCTTTTTCTCTTTCCCTCTCTTCCTCTGTTTATTGATCATAATTGAAATATGAAATTTGTATTTAGTTTATGAACACAATTTTCAAGTGTACGTTTGTCCGCCAAGCCGAAGACCAGATATAATTTTGACTAGTATCATCGCAGAACTCCAGCTAGTATCAGGTTCAATCTTTCAATGTTGTTCCTGTCTAGACTCGGAGTTGTGAGTAATGCGATGAACTCTTTCAACCATCTACAAAATCTGGTAAAATAAGAGCTCAACTTATACAATATATTCTCATCGATGTGTAATAGGCCCCAGACTGCTAACACTAATGCAAATGTCCAATTTTCGTTGCCATTTTTGGTTTCATATTGATTGGACTTTGGTGTCATTGGTGAAAGTGGTGTGGCCATACAACGCGCTTAATATGTATTTAATCGATGGATTGCTTTATATGGACCTTGGGCTTAAGTTTACTGGATATTGTTTGTTATTATTAGCTGTATTTACAATTAATTTGCGTAAAATATATAATCATAGTCTAAATGTGTATGTATGTACAATTAATAAGCCTGTATCGCTGTGACTAGTACTTGGATGTTCGGATTTAGGTTCAGGTTCGGGTTCTATAAATCAGACTCTATGACAGGGAAGCGACACGGTAAAAGATTAGGCGACTCGGATATTCTACTATCATTTGCGTAGCTACTTGTTTTGTCACTTGAACGAGCGAGCTCTATTTACATTTTCGAGTATTTTAACAGATTCCTCACAACACATATGCAATGGAGGCTAATAAAATTGAAGAGACAGCCGTGGAAGTTAAGATTTCCGAAGATAGCGAGACCAATCAAAACCACGATGCTTTCGATTACGAGGGAAACCTTTATCCGCAAGAGAATCAAAATTGGGAAACGCCGTGTATAAAAACAGAATTAGATCATAGTACATCGACTAGTCTCGCTGGCACGCCCGATAATAGCAATTATAGTGCAATAATGAAGGAAGAGAACATGTGCGTCGAGAATACAGACAGTCCATACAATGGTTTATGCGACGCGGAATCTCCAGAATACACCACGGACATAAATAATACTTCTGATGACTTGCGGCAATTTGACGTACTGGACGATATAGATCGTCATACAGAACAAAATTATTCGGATGCCGATTCAGATACAGATGAGAGTATGGACTCTGACGTGCCGGACGAAGAAATTGAAGCTATGTTAGAAGAAGGTATATCTTGGGACATTTTAATAATTATTAAATCAAATTTACTCCCTAGTAATCAGATAAAATATATTTTATTGTAGAGAATAATGTTATTTATTTTTATCCATTTAGTACAAATTGCATAACTTTTAAATGTATTTTTTAATGAAACATTACGTTGGCAAGGAAATATGAAAAATATTAATTTTGTTATTTCGCTTAATATCAGGTCTACCAGAAAAATTTAAAGGGAAGAGGAAAAACAAAAAGGATAGCATGCCTTATGAAGAAAAAGAAAAACTTGTTTTAGATGGTATGTAATAAAATCATATTAAATCAATTATATGAACTTTGTGAATTCTTTACGATTTTATTTACGATTAAATTGAGATTTTATTGTGATATTGCATAATTGTATAATATTCATATTTTATTCTTCTTATCTTCAGAAATCGGACATAATCATTTTGACGTTCTTCCTGAGGGTTGGGTACAAGTAACGCATAACAGTGGAATGCCGCTGTACCTTCATAAACAAAGCAGGGTTTGTACTCTAGCGAAGCCGTATTTTCTTGGTCCAGGAAGTGTTAGAAAGCACGAAGTTCCTGTAAGTGGCATACCTTGCCTTCAATATAAACGAGCGTTAATAGAAGAGGAAGAAGAACGGAAGAAAGAGATGGAGCGCGCACCAAACGCTGAAACTTACAGTCTTCCTAGCGCAAAAATTGAAACTATACAGGAAAATCGCGCGGCACATTCATTAGATAGCGAGCAATTAAGGAAGTATTGTCAATCGCTGTTTCGCTTCAAATCGATTAAAGTAATGAGATTCCAGTAAGTATCACGAAAAAGAAATTCACCGTCAGATCATACTTCTTCTATCTTTGATTTACTTCTCTGTTATAGATCTTGGTCAGCGCGTCGAAAATTCACGAAAAATAAGAGGCATCGGAAACAACTCGAACGTCCAACCTTGCCAGATGGCACGAAATTAATAACTTTCCCTGTGAATAGCTCCTGTGGTGTAAGTGGCACTGGTAATAATGCTGGAGAAGATAATGGTCAAAGACCTCCAAAGCATTGGATAATGAACCCATCTGGCAAAAGTTATGTTTGTATTCTTCATGAATATGTGCAACATGCTCTCAAGAAACAACCAACGTATAAGTTTAAAGAGCTAGGTATTACCATATCAATCAATCACTTAATTTATTTAATATTTTTGTTGTTCGGTCAAACTCACTCTCGAATTTTATTTCTAAGATAGAAATGTTTATTTGCAGAAAATGCGGCGACTCCGTACTCCGCGGTAGTATGCATCAATGACATGGAATATGGCAGCGGATTTGGTAGCAGTAAGAAACAAGCAAAAGCTAATGCAGCACGTAAGACCCTCGAAATCTTGATTCCTCAAATGAGAGATAAGATTTCCGGCGACAATGATGGAGACACTGGATCGAATAACGCTAGTCGCACAATAAAAGCGTCTCGAAGAAATTCCGATGCGGATTTATCATTTTTTGACGAAATATCCATCACGGATCCACGAGTCGCGGAATTCTGTGCAAAAACTACAGAACCTTCACCACACGCTATTTTAATAACTTGTCTTCAGAGAAATTATGGCTTGGGAGATATGCACATTAATTATTCGGTAAACACGCTAAAGCACCAGAGAAATGAATTTACGATGCGAGTTGGTAAACATGAGGCTACTGTTGTAAGTATAATCTGCTGCATGCTTGCTTATGTATATAAATAGAATTATTAAGTAATCTTAAATAATAAAAAACGATATCCATCTTTTTATTAATTAATAATTATAGGTTTGCCGTAATAAAAAAGACGGTAAGCAACGAGCAGCACAAGCGATACTGCAACTTATGCATCCACACATACAGTCTTGGGGTTCGTTATTACGGCTTTATGGATCGCGGAGTGTGAAGTCCTTTAAGGAAAAGAAAGAGTTGGAGCAACAAATTACTCTCCTGCAGGGTAAAGCTGCCGTTAATCAACCAAATCACGCTATTTTAGGTAAACTTAGACAAGAGATGCGAAAATTAGCTGAACAACGAGAAGCCATACAGCCTATTGGCAAATTCGTAGCACTAGATTTACCAACAGGGTCTGCAGCTAATTTGAATAATGTAGATTTGTAAGGAAAAAATATAAAACTAGTCAATATATATGCCCCAAAAATTTTTTAAATTCAATTACTAGAGGAAATATTTTACGAATATGAGACAATGAAATGGAATAATGCCTTTTTAAAGTGAAGAGACACAAGTATGTGTCAGTTTTAAGTGAGAGTACCTCGAATTATTCTATCTGAATTATGTCTAGGCCAAGTGAATCAACAAGAGCTTGTAAGATCCGATTGTATAATGAAAAAATACGTATATATGCAGGATGTTCCAGACTTTTCTTTGCAATTTTTGTGGGAACGGTGGTGAACATAAGTTTTATGAGGTGAATGTAAAAATCCTATATCGTTTTGACGATATGTTCGCAATAATAATCGAGATATTAATTAAAGAATTGGTGAATGACGCGATAGGTAGATGAACTGCAATAACGATGTGCATTAAGTCAAATTGAACAAAAAAGCCTTTTATCATTTTGCAAAGAATCACGTAGGTTTTTAGTTATTAATGAAAGAAAATTGCGATATGATTGTGCACAATAATGCACAAATTTTCTTTAATTAATATCTAAAAATCAATGTGGTCATTTACAAAATTATAGAGAACTTTTTTGTTCAGTTTGATCTAATGTATAAGTATACAACAGCAGATGGTGCCACTACAGTTCATTTACCATATTTCGCGTGATCATTCATCAATCTTTTTTAATTAATATCTTGAGAATTTTTATTGCAAATATCGCAAAAATTTTATATTCACCTCAATCTGTTTTACATCTCCATAAAAATTGCGGAGGAAAGTCTGGGACATCTTGTATATGCGCTATAGTCAAAAACGAATTAGGATTATAGCTAATAAAAATCATTGTAATAATTATTAAGGAATTATTGATTTTTAACTATTTTGATAGTGTAGAACAGTATTATTATTATATTATTATTATCATCATTATTATGTACTCTATTACATATACGTCTTATATACTATTATTATATTAATATTACAAGACAAGTGCTTCTATTCATGAGCATTATAATTTTTTCGTAAATGTGTACAAACGTTAGTATTAATTGTATATTGAAACTAAAAAATAAGTTTCATAAGGTATATAGCTTAAAATCAGGATACATCATTAGTCTTAATAAAATCGCGGTACATGTGTTTGTGTCGTATGAATAAACATATATATGTTAAAATATTAGAACATCTCTCTGATACTTGGATCAAATTTTGTCAAACTGTAAAATATAAATCTAAATGAGTAAATTATTATTAAATTGTATGTAATACGTTTTTTTCACAAAGATACTATTTATTCTTTTTTTATAATGCACTAAATCTTCACTACTTAAAATGTATATTATATGAATAATACATTGCAACTCATGTCACATTCATATGATTGTTTCATCTCCCACTTTATATCTACAGAAATCTAAATTCATGTATAATACTACATTGAATATAGGAAGGGATAAACCCATATGCATATTTGTATAAAGATATTCAACAACTTTCTAAATTATTAGTTGATGATAACTTCTTTGCATAGCCATGGAAGCAACAAATGTACTTGTATAAATATTTTGAACTTATCTAATTATAAATTTAAGAACTAATGTTTTTATTCTAAGATTTATTTGTTGCTGCCTTGGCTATTTTACTAGTATCAAAATCTAAAAAATATATATATACTAATATAAGCAAATTTCTGTTACTATAAATAGCATTGAAACAAATCAATCAATATAAATTCGATTTATATTCGAAAAATATACCCAAAAAACGTCTTTAAGAAAATTGATACAAAATTGATAAAATATTGATATGCATGTATATGATCTCATTTTTATAAAAAATTGTTTTTAAACGAAACTATTAACTAACTTTTTAAAATATATCAAATATTATTTTAACATTCTACGAATTTTATTACAAAATGCATTAAAGTGTTTCTCTTTTACCATAGCTATGAATCACATTCATTATATTTTGTCCGTTACAATCCGTATTATAATTTGTTCTACATCCTTTAACTTATCTTGTTTCATTCTTGGAAAATGTCACTAAATTGTTTAAAAGTCGATAAGTTATGTTGAAATAGGCACTACACAGTGACACAGTTATTTCATACTTATAAACAGCTAATCTTGATAATATGAATTGTGACAAGTAATGAAAATTGTTTAGTATCTTTAAATTTGTATAATCTTTCCATTCTATTAGATGTATGTGCCACTTTGCAGAAAATCTTTTGATTACTTATTGATTTAGATATTGTTATAAGTTAGCGATATACTCATTTTACTATCATTTATTTGTTTGGATATAGACATTGCTAAATGATAAATTATTAATAGTAGAATTATATATCCGAGGAAGAAGAGGGAGAGATATATTAATATTTTTATACGGATATATATATCACATATTGTGAAATGAATATATGGCTAACTCGACTTGCTTTCTGAATATATTTACAATTGTGATGAGATAAAATTACTTTATCTTTTTTTTAAATATCATCTTTATATCTTTAAATTATTATTTATCTTAATATTAGTAATAAATGGCACAGATTCTGAAATATATTACTATTCCATATCATTCCCATTCAGAATTGTAAATTAAAAAGAACAGTTGCGAATACAGTTGTATTGTAAATTCTAAGTTGCCATTGTTTATAGTTATGTATAAAATGCATTACAAGTCTCTGAACATTGTATGCTTTAATTATATAATAATAAATGCACTTTGACACATTAAAGATACGAAAAAAATACATATATTAAAAAGTGTATAAATAAAATAAACTCCATTCGAACTGTGGTCTTTTTAATATGGAATTTATATATACTTTAATAATTACATTCGATTATAAAGTTAAGGTAAATTCTTGGTTCGTTTTAAAAACAATTAAAAACAATAGAATAAAATAAATTATCAAAATAGATGAGATAAATCTGCGAAGAATCTAGTAATAAGAACTTTGGCGTCTGCATAGAACAAGACCTGTTTCACATTAAACGCGATTAACACCTCATTAATGCATATTTAAAACTACACGTACTTAGTAATTTTGGAAGAAATCGGGAATGTTTTTTCTATCAGTATCACTATCTTTCTTACATGCATCACCACGAGTTCTATGTGTTAATTCAATTTCAATGAAATTTATATGACAGTATCAAATGGAGAGAATGACGAAGTGTTATACTAAGATCGTGCAGCTAAATACACATTACCCTTCTTTACAACTATACAAATATATACATGCATGTTTCTTCTTTCATTATAGGTTTATACAAATTTAATGTTTTCAGTTCGTTCACATCGCATGCACATCTATCTACTATGAACCAGGTCTCAATGACGTTGACTATTTCTTTTGTCGTGTGGGGCCGTGTCTACATGTTAAAATCATATATATAATATATGTAATACCGCTAGTAATTCTAATATGATTATGTGAACAGAAAGCGTATTTGTAAGTATCGTTCCTTGTTCATCCGATCTCCGTGAGTTGCTTAAAATTATCCAATGTGCTTTTAAGAAAGCATTATATAGACGTATCACAGGTACTGCTACCAGATAGGGCCATCTTCGAGAGACTAGAAAGACTTCTTCTAGGACTACTACCACCAAGGAAGCTGCTGCTGGATTCGGAGAATATTTTTCGGAAACTGTAAAGTTTATATCGCTATTAATCACAATATCTATTAAATACGAAGGAACGCATACAACGACATGTGCACACATACAATTTACGAATGCCTGATTCAGAGGATTTCTTCCAAGGCGCGTCATCTGGCTCATAAGGAAGCGGTCCTTGTACGGGTGCGTCTTTGTCATCCTCTGGACTGAAATTACATGGAAATGATGCAACATTATTTAATGTAATAAAGTTATCTATAATACGCAATTTATCTTTATAAAATGCTACAATTTCATAATATAGATAAAAAGTAGGATATTAAGGTAAGAGAACATTTATAAACTAATTTTTTTTATAAATAATGTCTCTCTAATGACGTACATTTCAGGCTTTGGTCGATATAGCTCCAGTTCGTCTTCCAGATCAGAAACTCTTGCTTTCAATTCGTTTCGTTCATGCAAAATTTCCTTCAATTCTGATGTCGTAAATCTCGGTCTGTCGGGATCATCTAAGTCATAAACTGCCTTATTTGTTAAATCTGGACAGCCCTGCAATTTAGTTAAGTCTTCATTCTCTTTCTTAGCCATGCCAAGCCGAGCCCGTAAATTTATAAGTTCTCGGTTTTGATCTTGCAGCTGAGCTAAAAAGTCTGCCCTCTCTTCCACTAAACCTCGAGCTTGCATTTGCGCTTGTCGTTGTTTGCGTTTCAGTTCTCGCCCAACTACACTGAGCTTCTCTACTTGCGCAGTCAACTATACATACAATAAAATGTTTATTAATTATTGATATGTAATAAAATTATAAATTTTATTATTATTACATATATATATATATATATATATATATATATATATATATATA